CATGATCCCAGGGTCCTGGGATCGTGACCTGAGCCAAAGGCAGACGCTTAACTGACCGAGCCACCCAGGCGCCCCAGTTGATGGGTTAATTAAAAGGCATCTTTTTCATATACCTGAATATATTGATTGTCTCCATCTCTCAATGATTCCAGCTTTTGTTAGGAGCCTACTATAAAAGTTTTTTATAAATAATTTTTATTTGTAAAATTGATTCATAAATACAGTTTTGTATTAGTCTCCTAGGAGAGCTGTAACAAAGTACCCAAAACAGGGTGGCTTAAGTAACAGAAATGAATTGTCTCACCGTTCTGGAGGCTACAGGTCCAAAGTCAAGGCGTTGGCAGGGCTGTGTTCCCTCCGAATGCACAGGGAAGGATCTGTTCCAGGCCTCTCTCCTAGCTGCGGGTAGCCTCACGAGTTTCCTGGCTTGTAGATGGCCATCTTTTCTCTGTCCAGGGTCTTTTCTGTGTGTGTGTCTGTCTCTGTGTCTAAACTCCCCTGTTTTATAAAGACACCAGTCATATTGGATTAGGGCCCACGCTAATGACCTCATTTTAACTTGATTATCTCTATGTAAAGACCTTATTTCCAAATAAGGTCACATTCTGAAGTACCAGGGGTTAGGACTCCAACGTATCTTTTTTGGAGGACAGGAGTCAATCCATAACAATTCTGTTACTTTTTATAACGTTCTTCCTTCTAGATTTATTTTACTACTTGCTAGAGTCCATTCACTTCTAATTCTTTCAGAGAGCATTCTGGATAGTCATGTTCTGAGTCTTGCTCCTCTCAAAATTCTTTCATTTCGTCCTCACAATTGGAATCTCCAATTCTGGGTTCCTAGTTATTTTTCTTGCAAAGTTAGAAGATATCAGTACTCTGTCTCCCTGGCTTCTGGGTCACTGATAGGAAGCGTACCATTCCCCTGATTCTCCCTCCTACCTATGAAGGCTCATCACTGGGTGTAATTCCCCCCCAAGGTCATCTACTAGCAGTGTGACCTTGTGCCAGCAACTCAGCTTCTCTGTGTGTATCAGTTTGCTCATCTCAAAAATGGGGATAGGGCGCCTGGTTGGCGCAGTCAGTAGAGCGAGCGACTTTTGATCTCCGGATTGTGAGTTTGAGCCCCACGTTGGAGGTAGCGATTACTTAAAAATAAACAAGATGGGGGGACGCCTGGGTGGATCAGTTGGTTAAGCGTCTGCCTTCAGCTCAGGTCATGGTCCCAGGGTCCTGGGATCGAGCCCCACATTGGGCTCCCTGCTCGGTGGGAAGCCTGCTTCTCCCTCTCCCACTCCCCCTGCTTGTGTTCCCTCTCTCGCTGTCTCTCTCTCTCTGTCAAATAAATAAATAAATAAATAAATAAATAAATAAATAAACAAACAAACAAACAAACAAACAAATCTTTAAAATAAATAAATAAATAAGATGGGGATAACAATAGTGGATGGATTCCGAGGATGAGTTATGAGTAACGTGCCTAAAACTGTACTTGGCATACAGTAGGTGCTATATTTGAGTTTGTCATATAAATAAAATAGCCCTAACCAAGTCCTGGACAGCAGGGTCTGGAGCTGTTGTGGCCACTGCTGTATCACAGTGTACCTCCCCACCCCACCCCCACTTCCCACCCCCTCCTCCCTCCCCCCTCCCCACTCTCCCACTCCCCAGTCCCCACCCTCCACCCCCCAGCGCCTGGCAACCAGAAGGGGCTACCAAACCGTGGTATTGTGTGAATGAGCAGGGAAAAGAGGCCAAGCGCTCTAGCAAGAAACTACACTGCTGGGAGCCTCAGTTTTCCCATCTGTAACTGCTGAGGACTCAGTAAGACCACAGGGAACTATATTGAGATGGATGGTTCACCCATTCCTTGAATACCTACATATTGAGCACCTACTATGGGCCAGGCAGCGGAGACACAGCGGTGAACAAGTCGGCCCAGGTCCCTGCCCCGTGGAGCTGATGGTCTCACAGAGGAGACACACCACGAGAAAGAAGCACACAAGTCAGAGAGTTTCAGGCGGCCACCCGGCTACGAAGAAGATAAAGCACGGTGCTGTGAAGCAGGTGATGCGGGAGGGGGGCTCACACTGTCACAGGATGAGAGCTCTATAAATAATAAAAATATTGCCACCAACTAGAGTCCCATCAAAATAGGTTGAGCACTTACTATGAGCTAAGGCCTCACAATAATCTTCCCCTTAGGTATCAATAGGTCATTTGACATATGAGGGGACTGAGGCCCCAGCCACACAGAGAAGGACCATGGAAATGTATCCCTGAAATCCAAGGGCAAGAGAGTGTATTCTAGAAGGAGGCCAACCTGGGCGGGACTTAGTTTCTCCCTTTGGGGAATGGAATTGCCAAACAAACCTGCAACTCGGGCCTTTTCCGCCAGGGGGCGATGGCGCCCCGCAAGAGGATTTGGGGTGTAGGGACGCGGGGAGCTGCTCCTCCAGAATCCTCCCCCGCCCCTGGACAAGACCCCGCGCAGGCGGCCGCTTCGCTACTTCCGACTCGTTTCTTTGTGGCAGAAGGGCGACAAAGGCCCCGCCGCGTGCGGTTAATGTAACGCTGAGCCTGTTAGCATTAGTTCGCGTGCGGCAAAGTTGCCCTCGGTTCTACATCATTTCCAAGTTTGATTTCTACTGGATTCCCCAACAGAACTTTCGGATCCTGGATTCGAAGCTTCCCGGCTCCCAGAGTTGAGAGCTTGAGTATTCCACCTGTCCTCACTCTGATTCCGCGTCTCCTTCCAAACGCTCCAAGTTCAAATCCCAGCTGCAATTCCAGTTCCTCGGGTGACTTCTCGAATCCGGCCCCTGCTCCAGTCCCAAACCTTCCCCTAATCCTAACTTTGAGTTTCCTCTGCAAGTCGGAGGCATTGGAATGGGGATGGAGAATATGGGGACCCCCGCCCCTAATTCCGCCGGAGGAACTCTGGGCGGGGGGCACAGAGCCGCCATCCGAAGGCTCTGGAAGCGGGGGTGCGGCCGAGGGGCGCAGTGACCAGGCCGGCTTCCCCACCCGCCTCTAAACTTAGCCGCAGTGACGCGCGGCCGGGCGATCGCGCGGCGGGGCTGGGGACGCAGGGGGGCCAGAGCGGAGGGGGGCGGCTCCGCTCCGCGAGCCTCTATTTATAGCGCCCGGAGCCCGAAATAGCGCCGAGCTGAGCGGCCTGCATGACGCGGGAGCCGCCGGGGACTGACTCACCCGGCCCCGAGCGGCGGCCCCCGGATGGGGGGCAGTGGAGGCGCCCGGCCGCGACCCCGCGCCGTCCCGGGCACCCCTTCTGCCGGGCCGTCCCAAGTTTGCACCGGTCGCTGGGGTTGGATATGCAGCAAAACGGAGGATCTGCAGCACGAGAGACTGAGGTTAGATCAGAGGTGGGACTTCCCCCGAAGGGCCCAGAACCAAGGAACTCACTTTATTTATTTTTTTAAGTAAGCTCTACGCCCAGTGCGGGACTTGAGCTCACGACCCTGAGATCCAGAGTCACATGCTCTACGGACTGAGCTAGCCAGGCGCCCC